ACAACGTCACGAGGCGCGCCGACGGCGCCGGCGCGCATCGTGACGTGACCGGCCCTTTCCGCCTCCCCCCCCCCGGGAGAAGAACGAATCGGCTCCAGGCACCGCCTGGGAGCCCACGTTGGGGCCAAGAAACGTTTGAGGTGTGTGCCGAAGTGGGTGCAGTGCGGCCATGCGAATGCAGCCACAGGGGCCTCCGTGGGAGCCCTTATGAGGCCATGAAACATATGAGAGGTGCCGATGTGGGTGTGGGGCCTTCGGTGGAGCCCCCATATGGGGCCACGAGACGCTTGAGGCGTGTACCGAAATTGCTGCGGTACCGCTATGCGAACGCAGCCACTGGGGCTCTCGGCGGAGCTCCGGATGGGGCCACGAAGCGTCTGAAGAGTGTGCCGAAACTGGTACGGTGCCGCCATGCGAACGCAGCCACTGGGGGCCCGTAGTAAAGCTCCCTGTGGGGCCACGAAACGCGTGAGGTGTGTGTGTGTGTGTGTGTGCGTGCGTGTATGTATGTATGTATGTATGCATGCATGTATGTATGTATGTATGTGTATGTATGTGTGTATGTGTGTGCGTGTGTGCGTGTGTGCGTGTGTGCGTGTGTGCGTGTGTGCGTGTGTGCGTGTGTGCGTGTGTGCGTGTGTGCGTGTGTGCGCGCATGCGCGTGTGCGCGTGTGCGCGTGTGCGCGTGTGCGCGTGTGCGCGTGTGCGCGTGTGCGCGTGTGCGCGTGTGCGCGTGTGCGCGTGTGCGTGTGCGCGTGTGCGCGTGTGCGCGTGTGCGCGTGTGCGCGTGTGCGCGTGTGCGCGTGTGCGCGTGTGCGCGTGTGCGCGTGTGCGCGTGTGCGCGTGTGCGCGTGTGCGCGTGTGCGCGTGTGCGCGTGTGCGCGTGTGCGCGTGTGCGCGTGTGCGCGTGGGCGCGTGTGCGCGTGTGCGCGTGTGCGCGTGTGCGCGTGTGCGCGTGTGCGCGTGTGCGCGTGTGCGCGTGTGCGCGTGTGCGCGTGTGCGCGTGCGCGTGTGCGCGTGTGCGCGTGTGCGCGTGTGCGCGTGTGCGCGTGTGCGCGTGTGCGCGTGTGCGCGTGTGCGTGTGCGCGTGTGCGCGTGTGCGTGTGTGCGTGGGCGCGTGTGGGCGCGTGTGGCGCGTGTGCGCGTGTGCGCGTGTGCGCGTGTGCGCGTGTGCGCGTGTGCGCGTGTGCGCGTGTGCGCGTGTGCGCGTGTGCGCGTGTGCGCGTGTGCGCGTGTGCGCGTGTGCGCGTGTGCGCGTGTGCGCGTGTGCGCGTGTGCGCGTGTGCGCGTGTGCGCGTGTGCGCGTGTGCGCGTGTGCGCGTGTGCGCGTGTGCGCGTGTGCGCGTGTGCGCGTGTGCGCGTGTGCGCGTGTGCGCGTGTGCGCGTGTGCGCGTGTGCGCGTGTGCGCGTGTGCGCGTGTGCGCGTGTGCGCGTGTGCGCGTGTGCGCGTGTGCGCGTGTGCGCGTGTGCGCGTGTGCGCGTGTGCGCGTGTGCGCGTGGCGCGTGCGCGTGTGCGCGTGTGCGCGTGTGCGCGTGTGCGCGTGTGCGCGTGTGCGCGTGTGCGCGTGTGTGCGTGTGCGTGTGCGTGTGCGTGCGTGTGCGTGCGTGTGCGCGTGTGCGCGTGCGCGTGCGCGTGGGCGTGGGCGTGGCGTGGGCGTGGGCGTGGGGCGTGGGCGTGGGCGTGGGCGCTGGCGTGGGTGTGGGCGCTGGTGTGGGTGCGCGTGCGCGTGCGCGTGCGCGTGCGCGTGCGCGTGCGCGCGCGCGTGCGTGCGTGCGTGCGTGCGCGCGTGCGTGCGTGCGTGGGTGGGTTGGGTGGGTGGGTGGGTTGTGTATGTGTGCGTGTGCGTGTGTGCGTGTGTGCGTGTGTGTGTGTGTGTCGAAGTGGGCGTGGTACCGAAATTGGGGGGCCACATGCGAACCCTACCCCTAACCCCCACGACTTCTGAAGGGGAGGTCGGGTTCACTTAGTTCGGGGGCTCCCGAGCGAAGTGAACCAGAGTGAACCCCACCCTCCCGCTCAGAAATCGTGGGGGGTAGGGGTAGGGTTCGCATGTGGCCCCCTAGCCATGCGAATGCAGTCACTGGGGCCTCCCGCGGAGCTCCAAAGGCGGGCATGAAACGTGTGAGGAGTGTACCACAAGAGGTGCGGTACCGCTATGCGAACGCAGCCACTGGGGCCATCGGCGGAGCTCCCGATGGGGCCACGAAGCGTCCGAGGAGAGTGCCGAAGAGGGTGCGGTGCACCCATGCGAACTCAACAACTGGGGACCTCGGTGGAACTCCCTCCCTGCGGGGACCGCAAATTGTGAGAGGGGTGTACCGAAATTGGTGTGGTGCCGCCATGCGGACGCAGCCACTGAGGCCTTCCGCGGAGCTACCTCTAGAGCCACGAAACGTGTGAGGGCTGTGCCACAATGGGGGTGGTGCCCGCTTGCGAACGCAGCCACTGGGGCCTTCGTTGGAGCTTTTCTTTTCCTGGCAACAAAACGTGTGAGGAGTGTGCCGACATGGAGATGCCGAGGGCAGTAGCAAGGAGGGGAGGGGGGAGGAGGGTGAGAAGGAGAGGAGAGGAGAGGAGAGGAGAGGAGAGGAGAGGAGAGGAGAGGAGAGGAGAGGAGAGGAGAGGAGAGGAGAGAGGAGAGGAGAGGAGAGGAGAGAGGAGAGGAGAGGAGAGGAGAGGAGAGGAGAGGAGAGAGGAGAGAGGAGAGAGGAGAGGAGAGGAGAGGAGAGGAGAAGAGAGGAGATGAGAGGAGAGGAGAAGAGATGAGAGGAGCGGAGAGGGGAGAGGAGAGGAGAGGAGAGAAGAGAGGCAAGGAGAGGAGAGGAGAGGAGAGGAGAGGAGAGAGGAGAGAGGAGAGCAGAGGAGAGGAGAGGAGAAGACGTGGGGCGCTCTCTTCAAAACGAGGACCTCGTACCACAGGATGGTTTGTGGAAAAATTATCCTGGTGAAGGGTCCAACCATAAGCAATTGTTCGTAACGCGTTGTGGGTGCCGCTTTCGGTGGGGCTCCCTATGGGGCCACGAAGCGCTGCCTTGGGTGGGGGAACCGCATGCGAACTGCGCCACTGGGGCGGGCCTTCGGTGGAGCTGCCTATGGGGCCACGAAACGCTGCCCTGGGCGGGGGAACCGCATGCGAACTGCGCCACTGGGGCCTTCGGTGGAGCTCCCTATGGGGCCACGAAACGCTGCCCTGGGTGGGGGAACCGCATGCGAACTGCGCCACCGGGGGCTTCGGTGGAGCTCCGTATGGGGCCACGAAACGCTGCCCTGGGTGGGGGAACCGCATGCGAACTGCGCCACTGGGGCCGTCGGTGGAGCTCCCCATGGGGCCACGAAGCGCTGCCCCGGGTGGGGGAACCGCATGCGAACTGCGCCACTGGGACTTTCGGTGGAGCCCCCCATGGGGCCACGAAACGCTGCCCCGGGCGGGGGAACCGCATGCGAGAGCAGCCACTGGGGCCTTCGGTGGAGCTCCCTATGGGGCCACGAGGCGCTGCCCTGGGTGGGGAAACCGCATGCGGGAGCAGCCACTGGGGCCTTCGGTGGAGCTCCCTATGGGGCCGCGAAACGCTGCCCTGGGCGGGGGAACCGCATGCGGGAGCAGCCACTAAGGCCTTCGGTGGAGCTCCCTATGGGCTGCCCTGGGTACGGGAAACGCATGCGAACTGCGCCACTGGGGCCGTCGGTGGAGCTCCCTATGGGGCCACGAAACGCTGCCCTGGGCGGGGGGACCGCATGCGAAAGCAGCCACTGGGGCCTTCGGTGGAGCTCCCAATGGGGCCACGAAGCGCTGCCCTGGGTGGGGGAACCGCATGCGAGAGCAGCCACACTGGGCCTCCGGTGGAGCTCCCCATGGGGCCACGAAACGCTGCCCTGGGTGGGGGAACCGCATGCGAGAGCAGCCACTGGGGCCTTCGGTGGATCTCCCTTTGAGGCCACGAAACGCTGTCCTGGGTGGGGGAACCGCATGCGAGAGCAGACACTGGGGCCTTCGGTGGAGCTCCCTATGGGGCCACGAAGCGCTGCCCTGGGTGATGGAACCGCATGCGAGAGCAGCCACTGGGGCCTCCCGTGGAACTCCCTATGGGGCCACGAAACGCTGCCCTGGGTGGGGGAACCGCATGCGAGAGCAGCCACTGGGGCCTTCGGTGGAGCTCCCTATGGGGCCACGAAACGCTGCCCTGGGCGGGGGAACCGCATGCGAGAGCAGCCACTGGGGCCTTCAATGGAGCCCCCCATGGGGCCACGAAACGCTGCCCTGGGTGGGGGAACCGCATGCGAGAGCAGCCACTGGTGCCTTCGGTGGAGCCCCCCATGGGGCCACGAAACGCTGCCCTGACTGGGGGAACCGCATGCGAGAGCAGCCACTGGGGCCTTCGGTGGAGCTCCCTATGGGGCCACGAGGCGCTGCCCTGGGTGGGGGAACCGCATGCGAGAGCAGCCACTGGGGCCTTCGGTGGAGCTCCCTTTGGGGCCACGAAACGCTGCCCTGGGCGGGGGAACCGCATGCGAGAGCAACCACTGGGGCCTTCGGTGGAGCTCCCCATGGGGCGTGCCGAGAGCGGAGGCAAGGAGGGGGAGGAGGGAGGAGGGGGAGGAGGAAGGAAGGTGGGACGCGGGGCGCTGTCTCTTCACAAACGAAGACCCAAGACCACAGGATGGTTGGGAAAAAACGACGTCAACGTTTAAACTGTTTTCAGCGTCTGGGGGCTATCACCAGGCCCCAGGACCGTCAAAAAGCTACTTAGGACAAGAAGCCCGTCCCGGGGAAGGGGTCTGGACCTTCAGGTGCCCACGGCTTCAAACACTCACGACGTCGGAGGTCTGGGAGGTTGGAGGCGGAGGCGCAGTGAGTGAAGGAGCACAACGAAGACGACGACGATCACGACGATCACGACGACGACGACGACGCCTGCGACAACCATGCCGACCACGACGACAGCACATCCCGATCGAAGCATGCTCACGTCTCGGGCCTGAAGACGGAGGAAGGTATCCATCAGGACAGCTCGGGGAGGCCTCTCTCACAGCGGCGGCGGGGGGGGACGAGGACGACGGCGGCAGGGCAGAGGCGGAGACGCCAGGGGCCGCCCAGGGAGGCGCCTTCTCCAGCCACTCCTTGCAGTTGAGCTCCCCCAGCTTCTCCTGGGCCCGGGCCGGGATCGAGGATGACGTCCGTCTGTGTGTACACGTCTGGGCATGTTTGCTTTCTCTCCATCTCTCTTTCTCTCTCTCTCTCTCTCTCTTGTCGATGATCACCGGGCCTCACATGTTGTTGGTTATGCGCGTCAAATTCGCAGCGCCCCTTCTCTTTCTTTGCTCACAAGCACTCCTGTATTGTTGCGCCCTCGTTTGGAATCCGCATCGCCGCGCATCGCATTCCTGCTATCCGCGCCACATTCGTCACATCCCTCACGCGGATCGTGACCTCCTCCTCGTCATCATCATCATCTTATCATCGTCATCATCATCATCAGCATCATCATCATCAGCATCATCATCACCATCATCACCACCATCATCATCATCACCATCATCATTAGCAGCAGCAGCATCATCATCGCCGTCATCACCACCATCACCACCACCATCGCCATCACCATCATCACCATCATCATTAGCAGCAACAGCATCATGATCATCATCGTCATCATCATCAGCAGCATCATCATCGTCATCATCATCAACAGCATCATCATTATCAGCAGCATCATCATCGTCATCATCACCACCATCGCCACCACCATCACCACCACCATCATCACCATCAGCACTAGCAGCATCATCATCATAATCAGCATAATCATCATCAAAATCATCATCGTTACCAGCATCCTCATCGTCGTCATCATCAGCAGCACCACCACCATCATCATCATCATCATCATCATCAACAGCATCATCCTCATCCTCATCAACAACAGCATCATAATCATCATCAGCATCAACATCATCACCATCATCATCATCATCAGCAGCATCATCATCATCATTCCTCCCCTCCTCCTTAGAGTCTAGAGGATGAAGCCACTGCAAACAGATCCGCCGATACGGCGTGTTAGCTTCAAAGGGCCTAAGCTACAGCCTACATCCTGAGCTTCAACTCTGCTGGGGGGCCGGGTGGGGCTCTGCCAGGGAAGGGTGGGGTGCCTGCTCCGCCTGTGTTCCGCTTGCTGGGCGGGGCGGGGACATGTAAAATCCACAAATTGCCACCCCGGAGGACAGAGAGCCCGAGATGGCAACCAGCTATTTCCCAGACGACTCAAGATGCACCCAAGATGGCCAAGGATGCCTTCAAAAAAAGGCCCGAAGAGGCCGCCAGGTAATTGATTGTCTCTATGCTTTCGTCGGAGTTGGGCGTTTCATTTTGTTCGGCCGTCCAACAACCCCAGAGGCCCCCAAGATCGCCCCAGAGGCCTCCAAGATGGCCCCATGACGGCCCAAGAGGCTCTTAAGACGGCCCCAAGAAGGTCCCAAGACTGCCCCATAGTCCCCCAAGACGGCCCTGAAGCGCCCCCAGCGTGCTCTCAGAGGGCACAGCGAGGCGCCCAAGACGGCTTCCGACGGCGTCCGACGGGCCAGGAACGTTTCAAGGCAGCCAAAAACGCTTCGAAGGCCCCAAGAGGCTCAACGACCCCCTGGGAGAACAAAAAGCCGACACCAGCACCAAGAAAGCATTTGTTTCACGAAATGTCGAATTGCGTTTTGGACCAGCGCGAGCCCGCCCTGGCCTGAGGAATCGCAGAGTGGGCGAGGAGGACGGGGGAAGGGAGACGTCGCGCAGCACGCAGGAGGTAAAGCAGGAAATAACAAGTGCAAGCGAGAAGCGAAACTAGCGGGCGCTCTCGGGAGAAGAGGGAGAGAAGAGGGAAGGCTGCGGCATCCCCCATGGCTGAAGCTTTACTCCCCCCACCGCCGCCCTCCACCACGCCTACCCCCGCCCGCCCGCCCCCCTCTCATTCCCCCCACCCCTCACCCACCCTATGTCCGCCCGCGTCGCATCCCTGACCCTCGTCTGGCCCGACGCCAAGGCCCGACGAGTTCGAATCCGCCGCTCTCTGCGAAAGGGGGCGGTGGCCGCCCGTCGCGGCCTGGGCATAAGACCGTGGCCCCCTCTTGACCCAAGCCCGCAGCCCGTGGCAACCTTCCGAAATCGTCGAGGGGTTCAGCTCGCACATGGGGCCGCCGTTCCAGTGGGGGTCTTGGTGCTGGTGTCGGCTTTTTGATGTTGCAGGGAACAAAAAGCCGGCACCAGCACCAAGACGCCACTGGAAAAGTTCGGAGCGCTTTCCCTGTGGGGGCTGAGCGACCCAACGAAGCCAAGAAAGCTTGAGATGGCTCGCATTGCTCGCCGACTTTGCAAGCCACGGTGCTTCCATGATAGGGAAACGTCCCATGCAGCTCATGGCGCCCCTGAGGCCCACGGGGCTCCCATGGCCCGCGGGGTTTCCAAGGCTCAGAAACCAGATGTGGCCCTGACGAGTCAGGGAGCCAATGGTGCCCGCGCGGCATGCTGGGCCAGCGCGGCGCGTTGGGCTTATGCGCGCTGCGGCGCACGTTCGGCCCATGAAGCCCTTTGTGGAACTTGTGGGGTTCATGGGGCTGGCTGGGTTCGCACGGCCCGCGGGACTCGCGCGGCCCATGGAAATCCTAACGCTCACTTGGGGAACTGGAGACGGCCCGTTATGTTCCCACGCGCTCAGAGCTGGCATTCATCAACTCTGGACACGCGAACCCGAAGACACGGGCGACGGCATTCAACAGAGGCTGCAATGTTTTCTTTTCTAGTGGCTTCTTGGTGTTGGTGGCGGGTTCCTGTGCGCCGAAAAGGCTTCCTCCCCTGACGGTCCCAAGAGGGCCCAAAACGGCCCCACAGGACTCCAAGCGAACCCGAGCACCATCTGGAGCGCCACGGATCGGCGGCACTGGCCGGAGGCCACTGCAAGAATCTCTTGGAGATCCGCGGGGACTTCTTGGATCGGCGCGGGTCCCCATCCTCGGCGCGCGCGGAGGAGCCCCTGGCGCGGATCCGAGGAATCCACGCCAAGCTCCAAAAGTGCATGTCTATACAGTTGTGTTCTTCTTCCCATCCTCAACAACAACCGCCTCCGCCGCCTCCTTCTCCGCCTGCGCCTCCGCCTGCGCTTCCGTTTCCGCCTCCGATTCCGCCGCCCCTCCTCGACTCTGACCACGTAGGGGTTTGGTGACGAAGGCTGCCATCCTCCTCATCCTCCTCCTCCTCCTCCTCCTTTCCCTCCTCCTCCTCTTCCGCCTCCTCCTCCTCTTATTCCTCCTCCTCCTGCTCTCCCTTCTCCTCCTCTTCCTCCTCCTACTCCTCACCACCACCATTATAATCATCATCATCATCATCAGCAGCAGCAGCATCATCATCATCATCACCACCACCAGCATCATTAGCAGCAGCATCATCACCATCAGCATCAGCATCAGCATCAGCATCACCATCAGCAGCAGCATCATCAGCATCATCATGATCAGCATCATCACAATCAGCATCAGCATCAGCATCCTCAGCATCCTCAGCATCATCAGCATCATCATAGTCAGCAGCAGCATAGTCAGCAGCAGCATAATCAGCACATTCATCATCATCAGCAAACTCATCATCATCTTCATCATCAGCATCATCATCAGCATCATCATCGTCGTCATTAGCATCATCATCAGCATCACCAGCATCATCAGCATCATCATCCTCATCCTCGTTATCATCATCAGCAGTTTCATCATCTCCTCCTCCTCCTCCTCCTCCTCCTCCTCCTCCTCCTCATCCTCCTCCTCCTCTTTGTCTTCCTCATTCTCTCCTACTCCTCCTCCCCCTCCCTCCTGTTCCTCCTCCCTCCCTCCCTTCTCCTCCTCCTCCTCCTCATCCTTCCCCCCCTCCTCCTCCGCATCTTCAGTCCTCCCTCCCTCATGGAGGCGGGCGAGGTCCTCGGGCACGTAGGCGCAGACTGCCAGCTGCTCCGTGCCGCACGAGAAGATCATCTTGCCGATGTGGCCCGACCCGCCCTTGCGCTCCTGCCGGCTCGGGCTCCTCCTCGATCTGAATCGATTCTCAAGGCTCCTCAAGGCTCCTCAAGGCTCCTCCTCCTCCTCCACCTTGTCCTCCTCCTCCTCCTCCTCCTCCTCATCCTCCGCCGCCTCCTCCTCCTCTTCCGCCTTCTTGGTCGTACTCCTTCTCCTCCTCCACCTCCTCCGCAGTCCTTCTCCTCCTTCACACTCTTCCCCCACCCCCGCGGGGTGCCAAGGATCTCGGGGGTGGAGCGCGAACTTGCCAGAGCACGCGCTTGCCAGCAGTGCTCCTTGCGCCTCCGCCAGACGCGCAGGGAGAGGGGGCGGTCCCCAGGGACGCGGCCCCCCGAGCGGCGGCGGCCCGCGCCGACGCGGCGCGGCGCGGCGGCCGACAGCCATCGCGGCTGGGGAGGAAAGCTCCTCCTCCACCCACCCCCCCTCCCCTCCTCCTCCTCCTCCTCCTCCTCCTCCCTCCTCCTCCTCCTCCTCCTCCTCCTCCTCCTCCTCCTCCTCCTCCTCCCCCTATCCTCCCCCATCCTCCTTCACCTCCTCGTCCACCCCCTTCTATCCCTAGTGTCGGGAACTTGTGTTCAACGTGTGGACGCGGCGGCCCCCAGCGACACGCTACGCCCGGCAAGCGGATAGCGTGTCAGTCCGCTCCGCAGAGCGGGAGCCTCAGAAGGAGCTGGGGACTGGGAAGTGGATAGCGTGTCGCGCAGGTGCGTGGTGGGCCAGAACCAGCGAAGCGACACGCTATCCCAAAGTTCCCGACCGTAGATATCATCCTCCACACTCCTCTCTCCTCCATCCTCCCCCTCCTCCTCCTCTTCCTCCTCCTCCTCATGATCATCATCAACATCATCAGCAGCAGCATCAGCATCATCATCAGCAGCATCATCATCAGCATCCTCATCATCACCATCAGCATCAACAGCCGTATAATCAGTATCATCAGCATCATAATCATCAGCAGCAACATCATCATAATCAACATCAGCAACATCATCATCAGCACCATCATCACCATCATCATCCTCGTTAGTATCCTCATCCCCCCGTATATCTAGCCCCTGCCGCGCCAGGCCGAGCCCGCGCGGTGCATGTACGGAAAGCGGACCTTTCCCTCAACCGCTGCCAGAGCCAGGGGGGAGCTCTTTCGCTTCTTCCTGTCATTCACCCTTATACGCTCTGTACTCACGTGTTACATCTCGCTTTGCATGTGGGTTCAGAAAATCTCTGTTGTGCTCTACAACCCGCTACACCTCTCCGACGCGTGGCGTGCAGAGGATATCAGTGTATCGCTTCGATTCGCCGATGTCATCCTGTGCCCTGCTACGCCATGTCGACAGCGCCTGGCGGCGCCCGTTACCACTACGTCTCTACAGTATCATCGGATGGTCTCTTTTGGATGGGAACGGGGCAGGCACACCAACAAGAGCGCTGGCTGCGCCATATTCCTGTGAAAACGCTGTATCCGACCACAACATGTGTATGAGGTGCGCCCTGCCCCGACCGATATCGCTGGGGGAGGGGGGGTCATCAGGATCCGCAGCGGCCAGTTCGATGTGACGCTGATTGCTGCCTACTACCCGCCGCCCAGCAACATGCGCGTGGAAGCCTGGCGAGCCACTTGCTCCCGCGTCACCGAGTGGGTCCACAAGGCCGTGCAGGAGGCACCCCACCGTTCCATGACTGTGATGGGTATGGACTCCAATTCTCAATTTGACGTGCGAAGGGTGGGGCAGGCTGCACCGACAACGACGAATGACGATCACAATGTGGGGCCAGGGGCGACAGGAGTCGAGCGTGAGGTATCAGCGGGCATCTGGAGAATGTCGCGCATGGAGAATTTGACAGTGGCAGATACCTTCCATCAGATCGGCCCGACTTGATTCGGAGTTGACTCGACCAACAATCCTGACCATCTGATCGCGCCTGCAAGAGTCACCGGCATGACACATTAGTGCAAGGTACTGCGGAGAGCCATGCGGGAACTACAGGTGATCCCAGACAGCCGACCTCGCGACCATGTTCCTTTGCTGTGGCGCCTCTCGCATGTGCTCCAGGCCCCAGAGCCGCTCCACAAAGAACCCCGCTGGACTCAGGATCAACTCCACCGACTCCTGCAGCACAAGGGCGACGGCGTCGAGATCCTCGCGGAACTGGAGCGCCTCTCGGAGTCCACCAGATCGCAGTGGCAGCGCCAGACTCAGTCACTTGATCCGACCGCCGCATGGGAATCCATCGTGACGGATGTGCGACAGGCGGCGCTCCCAGAGCTGGAGGAGCTCCCCAACCGCTCGGCCTCGGTCGAGAACTACCGTGCCGAACGTGACGCCCTGCTGGAACGGCGGCGGGAAGCTCGGACTACGCTTGTCTCGGAAGAGGACCAGCAGCGACTTCGTGACCTCGATGCCCATCTGAAGAGGGAGGAGAAGCGGCTTGATCTGGCTTGCGTCGCGCAGCTTCTGGAGGAGGCGAAGTCTTATGATGTGGCGCCCGACACTAGTAATGTCTGGCGCCTGATCTATCAGATCGGATACCGCTGCCGCGGCCCCCGCCAATGTGCGTTCAATATCCCCGACTCCTACCGACCGACCTTGGACGAATGGACAGCTACCATGCAGGCTCCTGCTAGGGAGGGAGGTTTCTCGGCGACTGTCTTATATTAGAGGACCCCACGGAGCCCGCCCAACCAGAGCTTCAGAGATTGGAGGAGGATGGACTGGAGTACTTCGGCAGGGCCCCCGCGTCTAGGGCGTGGGATGGCTGGTGGTGGGGGACGGTTCAGCAGCTACGTAGGGCAGCTCGACGACGTTACTCACCGACCCACTCCCGACGGAGCTCTGGTATTGGTTGATCCAGCACGTCTCGTTTCAAATCACTGGAGGGTGGCCGTACACTAGCCATCACAGTGATAGGATGCAACAGCGCATGGCGAGACAAATGCATGTGCAGTGCACCGTGTTTGCCGAGCGCCTCTGGATGTTCTTTCGGCAAGTACGCGTGAAGTCTCGGGCCCCCTCTGCTTGGCAGTGGAGCCGTACCTCTTAGCTTCCCAAGGGGGACCTCAAACGGAGCACCAAAGGCCATGCGCCTTATCCGCTGCTGCTGCCCCTCTGGGAGAGCCCGGTCTCGGGCCCTAGATGTGCGACATGCGAAGAGGCCCCTCCCTGAACATGCCCATGGGTATGCCCCTCGCAGGTCCCGACAAGGTGCCCCGATGACGGCGAAGGTCCACAGTTGGAGACTCCAAAAGTTAGGGGTGCCCCATCTTCTGGTTAAGAAGGATATGTCCAACGCGTTTCCCTCGACGGCCCATGCCGAACTTGCTCGTGCCCTTCTGCAGGTGATTCCGCCCCCACGCCAGTGATGCCAGTGATGGCAGGCCCAGGAGCGTACACAGCGACACGGACTCTGCTGTCACGCACGGTGCCTGTGCCTGGAGTTATTGCTGCTGAAAGTCTCTACTTGGGGGGGTGGAACAGTTGACAGGTGGATGTGCGGCGGAGATACGACGACGGATTGATGCGACGAGGACGGCGTGGAGACGGTTGGGGAGGTTTTGGGAAATGACTCATTCCATACGTTTGAAACGAATGGCCTTCAAGGGTGTCGTGTTGCCGGCAGTGTACTGTGGATTGGAGTCGTATCTGCCAGGGGAACATGACCTCAGAAGATTGGACGCTGTCGTGCTCGCTTTCGCTCGTGTGGTGTTGCGGGATCGCAAACCAGTGTTCACCGAAGGCGCAGGGTCTCGGCCGAAGTACCGCTCTCTGCCCGAAGCTACGGTGTTACAAAAACTACGCATTACCGACACCCGTGTTGAGCTTCTCGTGGGATGACTTCGTCAGTGGCAACGGTATGCTTCCTACTCCGACGACAGCAGACAGCCTCTCGTTGCTATCTTTGGGACAATGGAGGGACTTCAAGAGGAGGAGACTTTTCTGGAGGATGGTTCCGTGAGCCCGAAAGCTACCCCCTGGGCTCGACAGGTACAAATTGACCTTGAGGCGCTCCACCATCTGGAGGGAGGTACGGCGTTCTTGGGCATGCATTCGGTTCGCGATATCTTCCGCAATGGTGCTGCTGCTGGGGTATTCGCGAGGTTCAACCCCGACAAGCTCCGCAAGGCTCCTGCCTTCAGAGGTCCCCCACGAGCGCCTCCTGCACAAGTTCCAGAGGATGACCCCCCTGAGGCCTTCATTTGCAAGCTTCCTGGTGCAGGACCCGACGGCATCTGTGGGCAAGTCTTTTACAGCGCGGGGGCCCTACGGGCTCATCAATGCCATCATCCTTCCCACAAATAACGGGCTCCAACACATATGTTGGTTGTGCCGAATCAATGCCTTTACTGCATGTCGGGTTACAAAAGTGTGGTGACGGCCAAACGACATGTGGTGCAGTCTTTACGGAGGGGTAGGTGTACTGTTGATTGGAGTCCATATGCGCCCGAGCCGATCACACCACCCGACCTACACTGTCCGTCCTGTGGATCCCGAGACAGCGTTCCAATGTTTTCATCACTTGTATGCCACCTGGCCCGAGGCGCACTGCGCCTTTCGATCCGTTGACAGAGCTGCAACGACACCTGCGTGACGTCCACGCTCCCGCTCCACCCGACCCCGTCTACTACGATGGACCTGGCGCAGCGCGCCCTCATCACCGGCGCCGAGGAGCGAGGCAGGGCCCTCCGCTCTCGGAGCGGCGAGCGCGGCGCCCCGCGCCGAGGCCGCCAGGCGGACCGCCTTTCTCGCGGGCCCGCAGCGGCGGCGGCGGCGACAGGAGCGGGCGAGGAAGAGCTCACCACAGCGGCGGCGGCCGCAGCCGCGGCAGCACCAGGCGGCCCCCCAGGACATCAACAGCACCAGCAGCGGCATCAGGGGCCGCAGGGAGTCGTTCACGCTCTGGCTCAGGTCTTCGACACAGCGGACAGCACCTACGGCTTGCAGCGCCGCGACTTCACGCAACTCCAGAATCAACAGATGTCCATCGAGATGATCCAG